ACGCCACCTCAGCTAGCGTAGGCAGTGACACTCCATCAATGTCCGCTGCATCCCCCAACGCGTACACATCCTTCATCGGGCTCCCATCAGGCCGCAAAACTCTCAAGTACTTGTCCGTCAGAATCCTCGGTAGTCCGTGTTCAGGCTTCTTGACATCCAGCTTCTGCACCAGCGAGCTTGCCTTGTTCCCTGTGGCCCAAATAATCAAGCCTGAAGGCAGCCTCCCATCCTCTTTCGTGATGATCCCGTCGGCCTCCACAGACGAAATGTGCGAACACGTCTTGAGCGCAATTTGCTTCCCCTCCAAACTCTGTGTCGCATACTCGCTCAATCTTGCATCAAATGTCGACAAGATTGAAGGCGCGACATCGTGGATCGTGATCGTCAACTTTCCATCCAATTGGGGGAACAAGAACCTCATCTCCTCAAACCACAGATCCCACAACTCCGCGGCCGCTTCAATCCCAATCGCTCCACCTCCCACAATCCTGATACTCAAAAGGTCTCTCTGCTCCTGCTCCGTCGTCGTCGGCAGCGACGCCTTGTCCATGATCTCCAAGATCCTTTGCTGAATCAATCGTGCATCGTTGGTCGTCTTCAGGAAGAAAGCATGCTTGCTCGCACCTGGCGTCCCAAAGTCCTGGATATCGCACCCAGGCGCGATGCATAGCTTGTCGTACTCCACGTCGAAGAACTCGGGCTCCTCGTCGTCGCCCTTGATGTGCGTGTCGGACTTGCACCGGATGACCCGCTTCTCAAAGTCAATGTCTTCGGCGAAGGCCTTGTAGTAGCTCATGTCCGTCCGGCTCTTGCGGCGGACCGGCTCCTCCGCCATGCGAAAGTTGAAGAGGCCGCATGCCGCGCTGGCGAGGAGCGGGGTGTACTGGATCGTGCGGATTGGCGATATCACCTTTACGGTGTATTTCGAGAGGTCAATCTTTTGGGTCAGGGTGAAGCCGCCCCAGCCGGAGCCAATGACCGCGAGAACAGGCTTCTTCGAGTCGACCATTTTCGTGCTGTATGTTGAGATTGCTCCTTTCGCAACAAAGTGGCCCTGTCCAGCCACCCGCCTACTTATGTTTCCCCCTCATTCTTAACGGACGGAGCTTCAGCATCGCAAGCTTGACGTCACGCGTTTTACGGTTTTGCGATAGTTCCTGGCAAATGTGGTGGTCGACTGCGGAGTAGCTATTTCACTTTCGGGACGTCATCGACTTTCGGGAAATGGAGATGTTACATTTCAGGCAGTTTAGCTAGCGACTTAGCCGCTTTGATTGGTCGCAGCTGTTTGTCAGCTTGTAGATGGCAGATGCCGGGAGATCTCCGTGGCTGAATACCGAGATCCAGAATTGACGAGAATCCGATTTATGGAGAACACGGAAAGCCGGCATCACGAACTTCTGCCTCTGCCACAGGAAAGCGCCCCCAAAAAGATTGGTCTTGGAAATACACTTGCGGGGTGCATAGGAGCTAGATCCTTGGCAAAGGCAATTCACCATTGAAACCATCGTTAATACTATCAGCATGGTGATACCTAGTCTAAGGTACTAAAACGATACGTACATCTTACACACAGCCAACGCTTACAGGCCCTCGGGAGCCTGGGCATATTTCCTCCAAATGGGATCATTCAGCAGCCTCTCCATTGCTTCATGCTCAACACCCACAAAAACCTCGATGCCGCCCTTCTTCGGGTCCGGCAGCACAATCTGCATCGTGTGCGTGACACCCACAGATGGCGGGCGGACAGCAAGGATCTTCTCACCGAATGCAGAGCCCCACTCAATATCGTAGAAGGGCAACTCGCGCCATGATGACTGCAGCATATGGTTACCAGGCATGTCAAGGAACATGGTCGGCGCGAGCCTAGTCACATCCTGGAGCCTCTCGACCAGCGCATTGAGACTGTCAAGATAGACATCTTCGGTCTTGGCTACGGCGCGGCGGACGCAGATGGCCAGGTCGGCGAGCGTTGCTTCGCTTTCCGGAGATACAACCTCGCGAAGATTGAGAACGGCCGGTGCGAAGCCAAGGATGTTGCCGATGGTGTGCTTGTGCACGGGTACGCCTGCTCTCCGGCGCGCATCAAGAGCGATGCCCATCACGGAGGGTGAAGGGGTCGGGTCTTCAGAAACAGGGCGGATTTTGGTGCTGTGCTGCGCTGACATTGTCGCGCGCCAGATAAGCGCCGACAGAGCGTCATTGGTGGTGATGTACTCTGGAATGCCTTCTCGACCCTTGAAGAGCTTGGCGTTGATGGGAGATGCATCGGCCTTGAGAGCAGCTAGGGCAGAGGGAGAGAAGTACCAGACGTGGCCATGATGGATGTCTGAGGCGAGCTTGGGTGGCACACCAGGGGGAGTGAAAGGGAGCTCGATGTACTCTGCATGATCTTCCGGGCGGCCGGGCTGGGCACCGGTAGACTTCATCATCTTGCTTCTGTCCTCTACGGGGACGTCGGCCGGGTTGGTGATTGGAATGCTTTGCAGGCGTCGGACTTCCTCGGCGAGGAGCTCGGTGAACTTGTAGGCCGTTGTGCCGTCTGCGTAGGCGTGTAGGAAGAGCATGTTGAGAAGGAGACCTCCCCTGATGAAGTTGGCTTGCATCCAAGTGACGTTCAGCCTGTCGCCAGCCTGAGGCCATTCGCCACCCATTCCGCGACGGCAGACCTTCTCGGGGCGGAGTGCCGAAGAAGGGAACCCGCGGGCCTTAAGCTCAGCGAAGGTAGGAAAGGCCTCGTCGTCACGGAGATCCTTAGCAAGGAAGTCCTCGATCTCGTCACCGTAGTGGCGGAGCTTGAGAAGACCTGATTGCTTGGAGTCCTCAAGGGGCACGACCTCACAGCCGGCGATAGGGACATGATCCTTCATGGCCTTGTAGGCAGTCTTCAGGATGTGTGTAAGGTGGTCGGCATCGTAGTTGTCGGGCAGCTCAAAGTGATAGATGCAGCGAATCCATCCCTTGGGGCCGATCTGCTCGACGGGGAGAAGGGGAGGGGCAAGGTCGAGCTTCGTCTCAGTCGGCGGGGGGATCTCCGTGGCTGTTGTGGTCGAGACAATCTTCTCAGGGAGAGGCTGGGCATCGTTCACCAGACTAAGCTCAGTGAGTCCCGGTGCCATCTTGAGAAACTCAGAAAGAATTCAAAACTTCAAAATAGAATGAGATGTCTACAAGACCCAGAGTGTAGAGTATGATCGATACAAGATAGCTCAGATGTCTCTGGAGAGCATGGGACGATGGGCTTTTGAAGAAGTGAGCTCTCATCACTGGTCTATCATCTCAACTGGAACTTCGATGCCAAAGGAATTTTCCGTCGCTCGTATGATAGTTTCTACCGACCTGGTCGCGTTTTGCAGCTCGGGCGGCGTAGTACATGCAGTTCAGGGGAACCAACATCGTCAGGCCCGGCCAGATTGCAGCGTCTCAATCGCTGCACTCTAGTTGAAATGTGATTACAGGCTGTACGTATTCGCTATCCCAAACAGGCAAATGCCTCGTTCCTCCGTTGTTTGCTCATTACAAAAAGGGACTCCATGCCGATCGACCTTCGAGGATGACAATATGGTCGCGATATCCCTTGACAATCGCTCGGATTTTTCGGGGTTTGAAAGCGCGATCACAGGACAGCGTGCCTGAACCGGCTTGTCGAAGATGGCCGTTGAATATCTAGACCGTTGCTAGCGCTGTCCGGCCTGTCGATGCTTGCGAGTTCACTCACTTAAACGTAATGATAAGTGGAGTTTTTGCAGCTCGACACTTGCCGGTACACATGGTAGGTATGTTGGGCCTGTTGGTGTTGAATGCAAGTTGCTCCCGGCTTCCCGACGTGCCGAGGCGCAAGGACCCAGGCATCGAGCATACCGTTACAAAAAGGTGCTGACCGGACCGGATGGCTTGCAGATGGGTGCCGCGGAAGCTTCCTAGGGCGCATATTCGCCTCGGTGTGTTTCTGAAAACTCGGACTTCTTACCTGTTGTGATGCGCTAAAGGAGACAATGCACTTTTCAGGCGAGCGTTGGATGATATGTGGACCCTGGAAATGCCTGGTAATAAGACGTTGGTGTTGTGTTGGTTCCTCGCTGTTCAAATCGGCTGACGCGATTGGGTCGCTTTCTCCTGGATGGCCTGAAAGGAACTCCATCGAGACAAGTGGAGAATACTTGCACAGACAGCCGCATCCTTCCCGCTGGAAGATGAAGGTGGCTCTCGTGAAGGCTCGGGTTCTCGCGGATATCCCGAGTTCAGTGGGAACAGCCTCAGACAGGAAAGAGTGACAGTTTGCTACCGCTGGAAAGGTGGGTATGCGAGGACCTACGAACACGAAGAAGGCATGATCGTCTTCATGGGAAGAATACTTGTTCGGATGCTGCCCCAACAAGGCCCTAGGTCTTCGACCAACTGCTCAATCAATCATTCTACTTATCTAACAGATCTTTTCGGCAACAACCAGGCCGTCTCGGCCTCCAAGGGCTAATCGGTGCCCGAGACTTGGGTATCGTAATATGCATGCGGCACAGCTGAAGATCTTTCTATCTTATTGCAGAATCGTACTACTGTTGGATGTTTGCCAACGGATTTTCCTCTCCGCTACCCATGCGTTCGTGAAGCAAACATACACGTAACTGCTAGCCCCCTGGTCTAGCGCCAACATGTCTTGCAAAAGTCCTTGAGACAACCGAGGCAATTGAAGACTTTTGTGAAGTTATCCAAGCAAGAGGCGAAGCTGAAATGCAATGTGGAACGAACAGAGTTATGTTATGTCAATTCGGAGGCTCCGTGTCGATACAGCCAGCCACAATCATGGGGAAGTGCGGGTTGGCTTAAGAGCGACTCAGATCTTCGCTAAAACGTTGTGGTAAGCGGAGAATTTTGGTTGGCTTCTTTCCACTCTAACATTCCGCTCAAATGTCATTTTGAAGCTCCCCCTTTCTCCCCGTCTTTCTTCTCCCTTGGCGAGGAGAACCTGCCACTCGACAAAACTCTTCATAGATCATACCAGCATGACCGTCGACCCAGATATCGTGGCTATCTTTGGAGAGGCGCCGGCGGGACTCGACCTAGATGAGCAAATCGTGACCTCTTACAACGTTGCGGTATGCATCGTTCTGGGCCTTGCGGCCGCATCAGTCGCGCTTCGCTTTTACGTGCGCTGCGTCAAGGGGTCGAAACTTTGGTACGATGATTGGGCAATCTTTCTCAGCGTTGTAAGTTGAGTTTTGCCCCTGTTCTGAGGAATCGGTTGGAAGATATTGACCGCTATTCCTTGCCATTCTAGTTCTTATGCGCAGCGACGACGTTTATGACCATCTTGGGTGAGTAGCCCAGATAACCCTTTTTCGTCCATGAGATCACGCGACACAAGAACCATCTAACATGAAAAGCCGGGAGCTATGGCGCCGGAGAACACATCTGGTCGAGCAACATCTCGCGTTTCGTGACACTATTGAAGGTATGCTGGGGCAGGTTTTGTTTGTCATTCATTCATTATTCAGGTCACTGACGTTAGTCCCTGATCAGATCGTGTATGCCGAGCCCTACGTGTACGCAACCGCCGTCACTTCGACAAAAGTTAGCATCCTTCTTCTCTACCGTCGCCTTTTTCATTCCAAGACTGGCCTAGGTCAGCTATACTCGATAATGTTCTGGACCGCGACCTTCCTTACCAGTACATATCCATTCATACTTTGGATTACCATGGCCTGTGCCTGTCGTCCGGTTTCATTCTACTGGACTCAATATCTGGGGGAGAAGGGAAGCTGCATCAATGTCAGCTTGTTCTTCCTTCTTCTAGGCATCGTCAACATGTTCAACGACATCGTCATATTGCTGGTACCCGTGCCTCGTATCTGGGGACTGCATATGAACAAGCGGACTAAGACTTCCATTATTGGTATCATGCTTCTGGGCGGCTTGTATGTTCTCCTCACTTCCAGCCTTGAATGACATGTTTGCTGACAATCGATTACAGTGTTTGCGTTGCAAGTGTCGTGCGTATTTACTACCTCAATGGCTTGTTCCAGAACATCGACGTCACATGGTGGATGGGTCCCTCCTTTGCCTGGTCTAGCCTTGAGCCTTCCGTCGCCATCATCTCCGCTTGCTTACCAACATTCGCCCCATTATTCCGCATGGGTCGGAACAAGTCCTCAAAGAGTCCATCCTATCCGTACGCAGGAGAGCGTAGCGATGGTATCTCAGGTAACGGGGGGCAACGCAGCCGCAATGCTCACGGCAGTCAGCTTGCAAGAGCAAGTGTGGGTGGCTTTGGTCTGAGCCGAAGCCCAGCGGGACATACAAGGCTTGAGGATGATGAGGTCGAGCTGACTTGCAAGGTGACTTCTGGGGATACGGTCTCGAGTCATGGTGCTGAGAGCAAAGGTAGCTCTGACTATGAGCGATGGATTGTCGTCAGGACTCAGGTATCTGTAGTTTCACAGAAACAAAAAGACAAACTCCACGAGAAATAGAACATGCCTACCTAGGAGCTGATACTATGAACCTAGTGAAAAGTATATCTTGAGTGCCATGCAACTCATAAGTTAAGCTTTGAAGCCATGCAATATCATCCTAATTGACCTTACCTGGACTTCGAACCTGCCTTGCCTGCCGTTATATTATGATGGCTCTAAAAGCCACGAATCCTTGCAAGCATACCGGAACAAAAGGATTCACTCATCACTTGTGTACTTACGGAAAGAAACGCGGCTCCCAAAAGTGGTACTTATGAGACTTCAAGGTTACGCGTCTATCAATAGGTATGTGACACAACGCGAAGGTTCACTGAGGCCAACTGGAGTTAGAGGTCAAAAGATGGATTACTGAAATCTGGCCACTTTATTTGGTGTGTTACCTGCGCTCTAAATGTAACCTAGAAGCGACGACGATGATAGAATCTAACGACGACGACGACGGTAAAGTGATTAGAGTATAGCCACAGGAAAAGTAGTCGCTCTAGCACAGGAAAAATAAGCGGTCTCTAAAGTAATTCTCAGATGCTGTGCTATTAACACAAGCTGCTGGAAGTGGACTTACTCTCAGTGGCTCAAATTCAAGCTAAATCCCCAAACCTCGACATTCTCTATGAGATTGAGTTGACCGAGGAAAGTCGAGAACAGATAGCCTGGCTGAGGTTGAGAGAATTGTTTGATTACAACGGTCGAAGACCTGAAAATCTGGTATGTCACGAATCGCTGTTTTTGCGGTAAGTACACCTAACTTTCCTATATCTACGTCGCCGAAAATTCGCTTTTATGAGCCGCTGTTGTCCTCTCTTGAGTCTTGAGACTGACTTTTTAGAATTTTCAGATAATTTTCGATTACAAAACATGTAAGAGAGAACACAATTTTGGAGGTCTCAACCGGTGTGTCATCTCATGCACAGAGTCGCGGTGCCCATTTGGGGGCCGAAGTAATGCGACGCCACCACCCCTGCTTGCTGTTGGTGGGAAACTTGGCATCTGTAACATCAGATCGACCAGGGGAATGACGTCGCACTCAATATTGAACATGGGAGTTGGCCTCCAGGCCACAGCATTCGATCGATTTACAGTGTATTCTAGACTGCTTTAAAAGGGAGTTTTGTTCACCATGGTTTGGGGCGTTCTATCCAGGCTGCGATGCGTGCAAATGCTAGAATGAAACCTCGAGTGGAATGGAGACATAGGTCAAATGAAGCTGATTCAACCACAGCATTATGTTGTTTTGCTTGTCCGGGTATCATTCCGTGAGCCATATTTGCCGTCTGTTTGAACAGGCCAGACAGACGAGGTGCCATAGTACCAGCTTTGAGCACAACATAAGCACCATATTGACATCTAAAAACTTTACCGCAGCTTCTGCTTTGGGTTCCATGATTCCAATGAGTATCCACTCTATCCAACAAGCAAGTCCGCTTATGAAGCCCTTACTTCCAAGAAGGGGCATCAAGATAACTCCCAACGCAACCTCCTCTATCCGGACTAGCGCCAGAAAGTTCTCCTTTCAACTCCAATGTCCTTTTTCTCATCGGAAGCTTTTCACATCCTTCAGCGACGTCGGAGACGCATGAACGGAAGCCGCGGGGGCGAAATTTAAAGAAGGTCACATCCTTAAGGCTGTGCTTAGTGGGTCACTCGAGGTTGGTAACCTGTCATCGGAAGGTCTTGAAAATTTGTCAGTCGCTAAAGTCTGGAACTCGGCCTTGGCAACCATAAACACTCTTATGTCCACTGCTATTGCCAGCATGTCATTCTTAAGTCAGCCTGGTCAAGCTCGATGGGCTTCTTGAGCCATTCAAGTTGACCGCTCCGGCGTCACGCGTGCCTGCATATGGCCACGCAGGAGAAGGTTGCCGAGCAGCGGCCTGCAGCAGACTGGGTAGAGCAAGATTTGGCGACATGGCTCAGCTCGTTGGGAGTTCGATTACCCGGTCTGCTTGAATTCTGATTGATCACGGGCTCCGTCTTGCACCGCCTATCTCCACGTAGCCGTACTAATTCGGCGACGGTCCGAATATGAGGCATTTTTACGCGAGGCATTCGGGCAGTCAGCCAAGACAATACACGACCAAGAAACGACAAAGTTTTCCCGCGATCGTCCGCGTCCAGTTGCCTGATTCACTGGGCTCTCGTGTAGGGCCTCCACACTGGAGTATGCTTATATTATCAGATCCACAGAACAGGTGCCATCGTTGCCTTTCCGAGTTAGTACCCTCCGGTTCTGCGGAGTGTTTCCCAGTACCGAGACAAGGTACTTGAATAAGATTATCAATCTCATCTTATCAATCGTTCACATATTTAAGATGTAAGCCAACATCATGACGTTGTTTTCTTCCTCAAGCTCTTGGTTGAGTGTCTTGCCATTCCTTTCTTTGCATCGTCATCCGGCATCATGAAGTTCATTACTCTGAGCTCCGCGCTTCTGGCGCTGGGCGAGACGGCCGCTGCTCGCATGTACGCCCGCGACAATGCCACGACCACCCGCAACACCACCTACGACTACATTGTCGCTGGAGGTGGAACCGCTGGTATTGTCGCAGCTGAGAAGCTCGCCACCTCCGGTCGCAGCGTTCTCCTCCTTGAGCGTGGCGGACGTTCCTTCTACATGACCGGCAACAACAAGACGATGCCATGGAACAGCACCGTCACCATGTACGATGTTCCCGGCATGGCCGACCACACCGGCGCGTCTCCCGATCTGCAGTACTGCAGAGATCTTGCCATTGCGGCGGGATGCCTCCTCGGTGGCTCAACCATGCTCAACGCACTCATGTTCGTCAGGCCCCGCGCCGCGGACTTCGCGTCTTGGCCCGAGGAGTGGCACTGGGAGAACGGCATCGCCGATGCGGCCGCTGAGTTCTACGAGCGCCTTCCCGGTACCACCTTGGCTTCGGAGGACGGCAAGCGCTACGATGACGGCGCTTTCGAGATCATGTCTCGCTTCTTGGATGCCAACGGCTGGAGCGAGCAGGATGCCCTGAACGACGTTGAGGCTAAGGAGTTGATGTACTCCCACCCTCCCTGGTCGGTAAGTAAAGACGCTCTTCAAAAAGTTCAAGTCCAATCTAACAATGTTTAGATCGCCCACGGCCTCCGTGACAGCCCCGTTCGCGCTATCCTCCCCGACGCCGAGGCCCTCTCCAACTTCCACCTCGAGCTTAACACCAAGGTCCTCCGTGCCATCCGTGAGGGAGGCCTGGTCACCGGCATCGAGGTTGAGCACGACAGCGGTGCCCGTGAGATCATCAACCTGGCCAAGGGCGGATCCCTGGTCCTGGCTGCCGGCTCCCACTCCACTCCCCGTGTCCTCTTCAACTCCGGCATCGGCCCTGCCGCACAAATCGAGATTGTTGCTTCCGGCAACACCAACATCCAGCTTCCTCCCAAGGAGCAGTGGATTGAGCTTCCTGTCGGCGAGAACCTCAAGGACCATGCCATCGCTACCGTCACCTTCACCACCAAGGACAAGCTTGTTGCCCTCCCCAGTACCGCTTGGACCAGCCCCGACCAGACCTCCATCGACCTCTTCGCCCAGGGTAGCGGTCTCATGGCTCAGTCTGGTCAGCGCCTGAACTTCTGGACTTCCGTCAACACCACCGATGGCGCTACCCGTCACATCCAGGGTACCGTTCGTGCTGATGCCAACAACACCATTGGCGTCAAGGTCTACCTCACCCACGGTACCACCTCCGTCGGCACCGTCGAGATCACGCCTGAGGGAGCTACCAACATGACCCAGAAGCCTCTCCTGCACACCGAGGGTGACGTTGAGGCTCTGACCACCATGGTTGACACCCTCCTCCAGTACGCCCGCAAGCCTGACAGCATTCTGAGTGTTCCTGAGAACGCCACTGCCGAGGCTCTTGTTGCTGCGGCCGGCAGCGGTAGCCACTACCTTGGCACCACCCAGATGGGTTCTTCCAACGACGGCAAGAGCGTCGTCGACCCCAACACCAAGGTTTGGGGTACTGAGAACCTGTTCGTTGTTGATGGAAGCATGCACCCCGAGGTTCCTACTGGTAATACTCAGGCTCCCATTATGGTCGCTGCTGCGTATGCTGCGAAGAGAATCTTGGCCCTCGAGGCTTAGTCTCAATATGTAGCCGTAGTGTAATGTATTAATAAATTTCCATAGAGTAGCACATTGACCAATCTTGAGTTAGAGAAAAGCCTATGAGTACAGATCAGAAGAACACCTAGTACTGAGCGTAAACAAAAACTCTCGTTGGATGATTTCGTCCTAGATCTGATGTCAAAAACTAAATGTTCAGGCCACCCAAGCAATTTAAGAGCTGGGTTTGCCCTTACTCAACTGACGGGGAGGACCATGGCATGGGCTAGGACAATTTCCGTTACCATGTCGACAAAACCCTCTCTAGAGGAAGGACGACGTGCTGCCACATATCCTCCAAACAACCAGGGCTTCCTACGCCCTTGGCAGGGCTGCGGAAGCACAAAAGACACCATGCGATTGCATCCGCAAGGGACTTTCCAAATTTCGGCTCAACATCTTCTTGCCACTTCCAAGCCGTACACAAGTCTGTGATCGCTTGCGAAGTACTATCTTTGAGCATTATGGAATGTGTCGGATGGCTCTCCAGCTTCTCCCCAAAGAGGAGCTCGAGGAGGATGATTCCGAGGGGGAAAAGATTTGATCGTCCTTGGGCTTCAACTGCAAGAGCTTTCGACTGCTTCAAAGTTTTTAGCAGACACTCATGCATAGCGTATGGTTGCAATGACGTTGAATCGGGGTCTCGTAGTAGACTGAGGTCTTCAGGGGACCAAGAAGCGGAAAGCCAAGGTGAAGCTCCCACACTGGCCACAAGAACCACTGTTGAAAGCCCAACGCGCAGTCTTTCCGCGCGATACATTTGAGTACGAATAACCGAGTCCAGCGTTTCGACTTCGCAGAGTTGCGAGGGCTGCTGCCACGGGGCTGAATGAAGGTAAATGCGCTGATTATTGTTCGACTTCAAGAATCCGAGACAAGGCTTAACAGGCCTGCCACTGATAGCCGCACACATACTTTAAATTGGTGTTGAGTCGCCACAGTGCTTGGATTCTCTATAAAACTCCCCGCCGGCTAGGTTGAAGCGGACCTTGCTGCTTGTGTCTAGAGCTTCCCTGCAAATATTCAATCGCAATTACAGTCTGTTACGTTAATAGCGTCCGCCCCTCCTTTTTACTGAAATTACGCACGTATAATCCCTATATATATATAAAAATTTACTTAATACTATATAGATACTTATAATATAGTAATTAACCTATTTTAATAGCTTTAATTAATTTATTCCTATTAAATCTTATTATCTAAAGGTATTATAATACCTCCTAAATACTACTATATAGCTTAATAAGTAAATAATAACCTATCTA